CGGCATCGGGGCGAATGATGCAAAATCGCTGCTCAAGTGAGGGCTTCAGCTCCGTCGGGCACCCCTGCTGTAGCCGTTTTGGGACCCTCTTGGGGCCCTGTGAGGTTGTCCTGGGGCCAGGTGGAACCTGTGATTGGAACTCATTCCGCGCAGGCTGCGCCCTCGAAGGCTCCGGACGCGGAAGCCTTGTAAAACAACGCACGGAAAATGATGCAAAGTCGCTGCTCAAGTGAGGGCTTCAGCTCCGTCGGGCACCCCTGCTGGAGCCGTTTTGGAACCCTCTTGGAGCGCTCTGAGATTGTCCCTGGGCCGGGCCAGGTGGAACCTGCGATTGTAACTCATTCCGCGTAGCAGCGCCGTCGAGGGCTCCGGACGCGGAAACTTTGTAAAACCGCAAAAAAAATTATGCACAATCGCTGCTCAAGTGAGGGCTTCAGCTCCGTCGGGCACCCCTGATGAAGCCGTTTTGAGACCCTCTCGGAGCGCGCTGAGATTGTTCTTGGGCCTATTGGAACCATCTGCAGAACAGCCTTGGGCCTCTTTCAGCAGCCCCTGCGCCCTGCGGCCTCTGGGGCCGGGGGCGCGGAAACTTTGTGAAAACGCAGGGAAAAGGGACCCCGGTACCATCATCATCATCATCAGCATCAGCATCATCATCATCATCAACATCATCATCATCATCATCATCACCATCATCATCATCCGCAGCATTATCCTCCTCCTCCTCCTCCTCCTCCTCCTCCCCCTCTCCCTCCTCCTCCTCCTCCTCCTCCTCCCCCGCCCCCTCCTCCCCCTGCTCCCCTCCGGGAGCGCGGTGCTTTGGATGGCGCGCTTGCCGACCGCGTTCCGGCAAGACTCCTCAGGAACGCGATCGGCATCGGGGCGAATGATGCAAAATCGCTGCTCAAGTGAGGGCTTCAGCTCCGTCGGGCACCCCTGCTGTAGCCGTTTTGGGACCCTCTTGGGGCCCTGCGAGGTTGTCCTGGGGCCTGGTGGAACCTGCGATTGGAACTCATTCCGCGTAGGCTGCGCCCTCGAGGGCTCCGGACGCGGAAACCCGGTAAAAACGCGGAAAATGACGCAACATCGCTGCTCAAGTGAGGGCTTCAGCTCCGTCGGGCACCCCTGCTGGAGCCGTTTTGGGACCCTCTCGGAGCGCTCTGAGATTGTCCTTGGGCCTATTGGAACCATCTGCAGAACAGCCTTGGGCCTCTTTCAGCAGCCCCTGCGGCCTCCGGAGCCCGGGACGCGGAAACCTTGTAAAAACACAAGGAAAAGGGGCCCCGGTGCCAGCATCATCATCATCAGCATCAGCATCATCATCATCAACACCATCATCATCATCACCATCATCATCATCAGCATTGTCATCATCATCATCATCCTCATCATCCTCCTCCTCCCCCCCTCTCTCTCCTCCTCCTCCTCCTCCACCTCCTCCTCCTGCCCCCCTCTGGGAACGCGGCGCTGTGGATGGCGCGCTGACCGACCGCGTTCCGGCAAGACTCCTCCGGAACGCGATCGGTATCGGGGCGGGTGGTGCAAAATCGCTGCTCGAGTGAGGGCTTCAGCTCCGTCGGGCACCCCTGCTGTAGCCGTTTTGGGACCCTCTTGGGGCCCTGTGAGGTTGTCCTGGGGCCAGGTGGAACCTGCGATTGGAACTCATTCCGCGTAGGCTGCGCCTTCGAGGGCTCCGGACGCGGAAACCTTGTAAAAACAAAAGGAAAATGATGCAAAATCGCTGCTCAAGTGAGGGCTTCAGCTCCGTCGGGCACCCCTGCTGGAGCCGTTTTGGGACCCTCTTGGAGCGCTCTGAGACTGTCCTTGGGCCGGGCCAGGTGGAACCTGTGATTGGAACTCATTCCGCGTAGGCTGCGCCCTCGAGGGCTCCGGGCGCGGAAACCGTGTAAAAAACACATGGACAATGATGCAAAATCGCTGCTCAAGTGAAGGCTTCAGCTCCGTCGGGCACCCCTGCTGGAGCCGTTTTGGGACCCTCTTGGAGCGCGCTGAGATTGTCCTTGGGCCTCTTGCAACCATCTGCAGAACAGCCGTGGGCCTCTTTCAGCAGCCCCTGCGGCCTCCGGAGCCCGGGACGCGGAAACCTTGTAAAAACAGAAAGAAAATGAGCCCCGGTACCCCCATGGAGGGTCGGGGCGCCTTTTTTCGGGGCCCGGGCCTGCTCCCCCGGGATATATATGTATATATATATATATATATATATATACACACACACATATATATACACACACATACCGGACACCGTCGGGCGGCGTCAGAGTGCTTGCTTCGGGACGCCTGAGCCCCCACGGGCGAGAGCAGTAACACCTCTCAGTTCAATGAATTGGGCGCGTCTGGGGCCTGTTGGGGGCCCTGGTGGGAGCTTCTTGGGGACCTGCTGGGGGCCTCTTGAAGGCTTCACGGGCTCTCTTGGGGCGCTCTTGGCCAATATGACACCGCCCGACGCCGTCGGAGTCGTTGTTTTGGGCCGTCTGAGGGGCCTTCGGGCCGTCTCGGGACCTTGTTGGGGCCGTCTTGGAGGGAGTCTTGGACGCTCTTGGGGCCTCTTGGTGGTCTTTAAGGGGCTTCCTGGCAATCTCGGTGCCTTTTTGGGGCCGTCTTGGAGTGGATCTTGGGCTCTCCTGGAGCCTCTCAGGCGCCTATCAGGGGCCTCTTGGGAGCTTCTTGGGCCGTCTAAAGCGCTCTGACACCGAAAAGGCGTGCGCGTCAAAAGTGTACTACGAGTGCCCACGAAAAGCCCATGAATCTTGACTCCTGACGGCTGATTGTGCTCCCTCATAGAGGGCCTCTGGGGCAGGCGTGCGGCCGTTTTGGACGTCTTGGAACGCTGTTCGGCTCTGTCGTGGTGCATCTTGGCGCCCCCTCATGGGGCCACCTGCGCCTCCGAGGGGCCATCTGCCAACGCGACGGGGCCTTGTGTGGGCCTCGTGGGACTCGAAGAGGACCGACACGCCCACGGGACAGGGGGAGGCGAGTCTGCGGGCCACCGGGGAGGGCCGGCAGCACAGATATGTATATGAGGCATCGTTCCATGTCAAGCGGATATCTTCAAGGGGGGACAACTAAACTGGATCTGGGGGGGGTCATCATCTTTCAATAAGTTCTGGACATCAGACACACTGTGCAAGATACTAGAGCGGTTTATGCGCTGGGATATCCGTATCCAACACTACTCCGATCAAGTGAAGCACAGCTGAGAAACATCATATTCCACATACGTGGCCTACGACACATCGGGACTAGCTGGCATCGATCGAGCTAGCTTCGCGGGATGCAGGTCCAAAGATCGCCAGCTTGGCCGCTAGCTTGGCACATCCACAAATACACAGACATATCTCAATCTCAGCCCATAGGGACGTGGGGCTTCGGGGACAACGGGAACACTTTTTCAGGAGGGACGAACATTGGCGTTGTAGGTGGGGGGCGGGGGGGCATAACGTGACGCCCCCACCCTCCGCCGTGTGGCGCCGGCACCACAGCGCATGTACGGACCACGACATGCACCACTGTGTGCTCTACAGTATGCACCGCCGCAGCCACGTGCACCACAGCGCCTGTGTAAACCACAGTCCCTGCGTGCACCAGTGCTTGCGTGCACCACAGCGCCTGCGTGCACTACATCAGCCGCGTTCACTGGAGCGTCTGCGTACACCGCAGTGTCTGCGTGCACCACAGCGCCCGTGTGCACCACAACGCCTGCGTTGATTACACTTCTGTTGTAGACTTGTGCTCTGGGAGAAGTCTGGGCGCGCATCAGCCCGAAGGAGGAGGCGGGCAACAGTGGTGCCTACAAGCGCGCACGCTACTGGTGAACAGTTGTGAGATCACGACGATACTTCTGTCGGCACACCGGTAGCTCGCGAGCACCACAGCGCGCCTGTGATCAGCCGAGTGCACTTGCGACGACCACACGGCGGGATGGCGCAAGCATCTTGAATACAGGCTCTGCTGGCCGCGCTGTTCTTTGATGGGGTCCTGAGGGATGGGGACCTGAAGATAGGAAGGGGTCCAAGAGTGGATTGTCGTTGTTCGAAGCACCCCGTCCTTAGGGCCCCACCCCTCAGGACCAAATCTTTGAACCACCGATGCCCTCAACGCTTCAGGACCTCTGAGCCTCAGGCCTGGCACACCGCAATTCCTGCGTGCACCACAGCGCTTGTGTACACTACCACGCATGCGTTGATTACACTTCTGCTGCAGTTGCGACGAACGCATGGCGGAATGGCGCAGGCTTCTTGAATGAACGCCCCGCTGGCCACGCTGCAAGCCCCGAGCCTGGAAACTCGATCCTGCGACAACTTTCCAGTCAAGAACTCCCTTGACCCTTGACCTCAGCCCAGGGCCAACCCTGGCCAGTCTTCCGAGCTGTGCACGGCCGCGGCGACGAGGACATCCAGAACCGCCCGAGAGCCACCGCAATGACGACGACAACGACGACGATGGGAAGGGGAGGAGGAATGGCCCACGACTTGTCATATCAGATCACAAACACAAGGAGCCGCGACGTCGATTATGGCCACTAACGCCCACCCCGGCCCCCTCCACCCTCCCTCCTCCTACTCCTACTTCTGCTACCACTGCCACCGAGACTGCTGTTGCCATCGCCACTGTTTTCTGCCACCAATACCACGCCTGCAGCTGTTGCCACCCTGCCAACACCAGAATACCGCATGAACTCCGGCACGAGTGCGCAAAAACACGCCGGAACCTGCAAGTGCGACAATAGCCTTTGAGCGCAGCACTATGTCAGCGAGCAGGGGCACTGAGCTTGTGAACGCCACACGAGTCCGTGAACGCTACAGTTGCCTGCGAGCGCCACAGTAGCCCGCAATCGCCACCATAGCAAATAGCCTGCGAGCGCCACAAATGGCCTGCAGTGGAAACGCAGGCACTGCGCCGGCCCCCTGCTGCAAGACTGTGCTGCACGCGCGCGCTGCAGCAGTGCCGGGGGCGCAACGGGGAGTTGGGGGGTGCGTTGCGTTATGGGGGGTGGGAGGGTGGGGCACAACGCGCGTCATGGCCCCGTGGGTTAAGAAGCACTTTGAACCTTGCAGGCCGAGACGCAAGGCAGACCTTAAACCACGCACTCAAAAGCCATACGGCAACTAAGGCGCGTGAAGAAAACCAAACTCCAGCAGCAACAAACGGACATCCGTGAAGCGCTGCGCTGGTTGGTAGAGGATATAAGCACGGAGATGCTGTAGCATTCGAGATCGGTCCTGCCAACACTGCCCATGTCCCGTGACCGAATGTTCACGTGATTGCCCGATCGATCGACTGACACCACTGGCTGCCGTGCGTCCTGGTCTCCCTGAGGCAAAATTCGCGTGGAAAACATATTCCCACGCGGGGCGCCGGCAGTAGGCGCAAATAGTGCACGTGGGGTGAGCCGACGTGATCAAACTGACCCAAGGGGTTGGCGCGAACAGGAGCAAGAGATCAACAACCCTGCCAAACTGAAACAAAAAATGGCCCGGTGTGGCCTGGCCGCGCCGACGCATCCGCGGTCTGAGCGCACACTGGCTCTCAGAAGCCCGGCCTAATCATGACGCCTCGCGGAGGGGTTTACCCACGGTGGTTCTTTGATGGGGTTGTGAGGGTTGGGGACTTAAGGATAGGAAGGGGTCCACGAGTGGATTGTCGTTGAGCTTCAAGCCTGCCTGGTACTGCGCGTCTGGGCTACGCCCATTTCCGGGCCTGCTGGAGCTGTTTGACCAAACGCTGCTGGGAACAGAAGGAATACTACGGAGCAGCCGGCCAAACTCAAGCGTCCCCTGGGAACCCTGGCTCGAAGTCCACCTGGAAGCCCGCCTCGCGCAACTCCAGAATCAGCGCGTCGAACACGGCCGTCTCGCGTGAACTTTGCGCCCCCATCTTCCTTCGCAGCACCATCAGCAGCGACCGCATGGGCACAGCCCGAAGAGCTTTTTCCAAAGACCGCAGCTCCCGAGCCTTGAACTGGCTGCCAGCGTCGACGGGGACCTCGCCTGGCCCAGCGCACTGCTGGCCAGCCAGCAACTGGAGCGCGTCTGTGGCCAAGCGCAGCATGACCATTTTCCTCTCGAGGATGGGCAGCAGGATGCCGAAGCAATCGGCCGCTGTCGACGTCTCTAAAAACTTCCTCTGCGACTTCCCGAGGTGCACGGGCCGAGTCGAGTGCGGGCAGTGGCAGAACCTGCACGCGTCGCCGTTCGCGCACCGGCCCTCCATGAAATACAAGCACGTCCGGAAGCACATCTCGGGGTGGCCCAGGCTCCCGGGATTGGAAGGGTGGCTGCACTCGGCGCTGGAGGCGAGCCTGGCCTGCCACCGACCGCGGTGGCTCGCCAGAGCGCCGTCGCCGCCACCGCCTGTCGCGTAGTCCTGCATGCTGGCCGCGCAACGGCTGGACTGGTACACGGACGCGCCGGTCGTCTGCGGCAGGGTGCCCAGCTTCGCCCTCGGAAGCACGTCTGCGGCCAATGCGTTCGTCTTCGTAGAAGGTACTTCCTTGGGGTCGTCCACGTAAGCAACGGCGTGCTTGACGTGCGCGTTAGTCGTGCTCCTCAAGGCCCGCATCGTCGCGAAGTACATCTCTGGCATCGACAATTTCGCGATCTGAGACTCAGCGTCTTTCAGGGCCTGGTGGCTGAAACCCGCGTCTTCTGGCAAGCTCCGCGAGACGCGGTCGTAACAACTAGCCGCCTCGCGCTGGAAATCATGCATGGCCTGGTCAACCGCCTCGCAGGTGATCTGCTCGAATTTCTCTGGGAGGTTACACAGCTGCGTCATCACTTCTTGACTCTCAGGGGCACGGCCCTTGAACGTCTGCATGATGGCGCTCAGCTTCACCTGCATCGCCTCGTTCGCCTCCTCTATCTTCGAGACGAAGGAGCTCCTGATGATCTCTGGAATCTTGTCCAGCTGATCGATGGCCTCATCGACGACGTCGTCGCCCACGCCGCTGCGGCGGATGACCCGCTGCACCAAGAACAGGTCGATCTTCACGCTGCCGGCGAGGCCTTTGGCCTTGGTCTGCACCGCGCTGCTCAACTGCTCAGGCAGGAGGTGGATGGCATCTACGGCTGCAGACATGCCCCGCCTCTCGACCCTGTTCCTCCTCGTCTTCCGGCTGTTCGCGGCCCAGACCCCTTCCATGTGTTTCGACAGCGCATCATCGACCATGCGATCGGCGTCGAAGAGCACACTGCGAAGAGGAGACGACTCGCTGCAGAGCTCGCTGGAGGGCCGAGGACTGAGCGAGCCCTGGCACTCTTCGCCCCCCGCCTCGATGAACGCGGCGTTCCACATCACCCTCTCGTGGCCGACAGCCATCCCAGACTCGGACGCCCACGCGACGCACCCCCGAAGCAGAAGCGGAGCCCAGCCCTGCGCCAGAAAGGCTGCAGGGGCGGGAGTGGGGAGGTCGTGGCGGAGGACGAGGAGGAGGAGGAGGAGGAGGAGGAGGAGGAGAAGGAGGGGAACGAGGAATGAGGAGGAGAAGGGGAGGAGGAGGAAAACAAGGGGAGGAGGAGGAGGAGGAGGAGGAGGAGGAGGAGATAGCACTCAGTGAGGGTGCTCGTCTTCCTGAGCACCGCCTACCTTTACCCTGAGGTAGGAAAATGACTCACAACTAGACGGTATCTTTTTATAAGATGCGACGAGCGTTGGCCGAGCAGGCCGCAATGGTCCTGAAACGGGCCCGAAAGGAACGACTCGCACGAGACGAATCCGGCAACCCTCTTACATGGGGCAGGCTAAAAGTGGACAAGGTCAGATCTAGGGAAATGGCAATATAACAAACAGCAGTATTGGACAGGGAGAGGGGGATGCCAAACAGCCAGGCACTAACATCACCAGTGGCCCAAGATTGGGGGAGATGGGGCAGAAGGGCACTCACGGCAGGTTGAAAAGCAGGGCAACGAAGATAACGACGAGGGGTGTCACCTCCGAGTGCACAGCAACCGAAGAAACAACTTTGGGTACTTGATCTATACCTGGACGTCGTACTCCAGCAATTGCATATAGTCTTGAATACGGAAGCGAGGATGAAAAGGGGGGTTGAAGACGACCGACGACACACATACATCTCACCTGTCGGTCCAGGGCTTTGCTTTTCAGGCCATGGAGAAGGGGATCAGAGGGCATATCAGGGATCGCGGTGCGCTCCGCCCACACCTTCTCGAGATATGCAAGGATAGAATTCTTGAATAGTGGCTGCTCCTTGTACGCTACCACCCAGCTATCCCCCTCCAGAATCTCCTCCACCGCCCTCCGATTCCTGTCAAAGGCAGAGCACTTGCAGCAAACACGGTAGGCCGACGCCTTGCAGAAGAGAGCGAGGTGGCGTATCTGCTGCGAGAAGCCAAAGTCAATCAAAATCTACATAAGGCGACGAGGAATCGCATTGTTCGGCCCACTCGTCAGACGAGAAATAGCTTTGGCTTCTGCACGTAACAGCTCCTTGGTCGGAGGAAACACTTGGGCTACATAGCCGCATACTGAGAAACAATACATGTTATAGGCTTCGATGTTCTGACAAAAAGATAAACTCAGCGTCTTGAAGTGCACACTTCGCTTTCTCAGAGAGCCAATCGGCCCAATCGAAGACTTGCCCCGAGATCCCACTCCAAGAACCATGCCAAGGTATTTCGCACAATCAGAAATCTTAAAGGTACGAACCCGAAGCCCCCAAGCCTTGAACGTAGCTTTAACCGAATCTAAGTCGAACTTGCGGGGGATGGTGATTTGGGTCTTGGCGGGGTGCATGAGAAACCCCGTGCTCTGTGGCTGGTTCAGCAGGCCACGGACCACCCTGGGTAAATATTCGAACATATTGACGGCCATCAGCGCAAGGTCGTCAGCGAAGCCGTGCGGGGAGAAGGCCGGGTCACATTGGGAGCCCGAGAAACTATGGAGGCACCTCAGGACCGAATCGAAGCAGACCGCAAACAGAGCCCCTGACATTGGGCACCCATGTTTGACACCGCGTTACACCTGGAACGAACAGCCCGTCGCACCTCTGAAGTTCAGATACGTCGTGACATTCGCATAAAGAGTCATGATAGCGCGGCTGTACCAATCAGGAACCTCAGTCTTCTCTAGCCTATGCTGGATCCACTGAAACTGGAGACTGGGGAAATCAGTTTTAATATCAGAGCAGCAGGCTCCACGCTCCCGCTCATATTCCATATCATTGAAAATGGCCATGGAGGACTCTATGTCAATGATGTGCTCCAACCCTTGGCGCCCTGGGGCAAAACCCTTCTGGATTCCACAACGCAGGTAGGAGGGGGCCTGGGAGAGAGGGGGAGATGAGGCGGGAAGCAGTGAGCTTGTTGTCCGTGTTACTGAGAGTGAGAGGGCGGATAGAGGCAGGGTCCAAAGTTTGCCCTCGCTGGGAGGGGTCAGCGTCTCCCTTCGGGAGGAGCGCCGCCAAGCCTTCGTTGAAAGACTCGTGGACCACGCCGCCAGAGATCGCGCGCTGATATAGCCCATACAGAGCGGCGGAAAAGACAGGGCCTCCAGCCTTCCAAGCACCATAGCTAATACCGTCTGGGCCAGGGGCTGATTCGCGAGACCGACGGAGTAATTCCTGAACTTGTCCTTCTGAAATTTCCCAAGACGTGCCAGAGCTCACAGTTTGGATGTGCGGATCGAGGAGCTTGGAATGCTCGGGGTCCACATGCCTACGCTTGGCGATGCCCCCCCAATAACCAGCCAGCGCCATGGCGGAGTCCCCGTGAGTACCATGGGGGTTCCCATGTGGGCCAGTGACGCTGCGCGGGAAGATCTTCCTGTCGAACGGGGCCCAGGCGGCAGCGAGCTCGCGCAAGCGAGGAATACGTTAGTCCTTGCTTTCAGGTTTCGCCGATGAGTCAGAAACAAGCAACTGCTCCTCCCTCTGCAACGAGACAAGCATGAAGGATGATAACTCCTCCTGGAACTTCTGTTGGTCGTGCCACGGCATCACCGTGCAGTCGAAAGAAGAGCCCAGGTGCGGGCGCGCCGCCGTCGCTCTCCTCTCAGTGGCACAGTCATTACAGCGTGAGGCTCTAGAAAGCGCAAGCATCCAGGAGATTTTCTCTTCGACACTTTGAGGCTCTCGGAATTCATGGTGGGTTTTGACCCTGCGAGCCGCTTCGTAATTAGCTCCCTTACAGTCCAGTATTCTTTGAACGGGATCCTGGGCCAAATCGATGTCCTCGAGGATGCTGTTGACCTCGCTCCGAAAGATTGGCGAGCGAATCGCCCATGTCGGGATAATCGGTCGACTGGAAGAGGGAGCGGGGGCAGAGAGAGCCAAGAACACGGCGACGTGGTCGCTGGGAAGCGAGCCCTGAAAAAGGTTGGAGACAAAACCAGAGATGGGCTTGTAATCCAGGAGAACCAGAGAGGGAGCAGAAACGTAAATCCGATCAATCCTTCCCGCTGAAATAACTCGATCGCCCCTGATGGTTTTGCGAGCGCGGTTAGGCTGGAATATTTCCGCATACCCTTGGAACTGGCCCAGGAAATAGCTGAAGAGGTAAGCGGGAGTAGTGGTGGATTTGCCGTCTCGAACTCTGAGCCGGCCTTCGCCACCAGCGCAAACATTGAAATCTCCTGCCAAGAAAGCGGTGGCTTCTGCGTTGCCGAGGGCTGCGCGGGCGGCAGCAAGCATCTGACGTTTCAGAAAGGTCTGAGACTCGCTGGGGTCGAGGTGAATGTTGATGAGCTGAAGATTGTCTGCCAGCCCGAGAAGCCGTACTACGAGGATACGACCTGCAACCACTTCGGTCACCTGCAGACCTTGAAACTGACATGCAATCCCATCGCGCGCCATGATGGCCACGCCTCCAGCGATTTCGGCACCCAGGAACGAACCAAACATCTGGAACCTCGGCAACCGCCTCTGCAGATCCACTAGATCAGCTTCGCTGCCGTGGGTTTCTTGGGCCATAGCGATACCATGCCTTCTCAACAGACGTTTGAAGTAACCAAAAGTACGGGATTGCATCTCGGCGGAGGTCCAAATACTTCCGAACAAAGCGCGGGCACTCCACGTCGTAACTTTGAGAGAGCCTTCGGAGGGGAGGAAGGGGGGAGCCTGTACAGGGCCACTGGGGTGAGGGGGAATGGGGGACGGAGGAGGATTAGCAGAGACAGATGCGCGTGCAAAGGCAGGCTCGGACTGCAGCGCACTACGAGGCGGCTCCCAGGGGCCCTCCTCGCGCACGTGTAGTACACCGCGTGGGTTGTCCTGTTCATTATCCCCATGAGTATGATCTCGATGAGTCGACCCCTAGCGGGGCCGCGTGCTGTGGGACACCGTCTGCAACATGTCGAGCACGGCCTGGTCGCTCACGTTCCATGCGCGAAAGCTCTCTAGGACGGGGTCGTACTGGTAGCCAGTCTCAGCGGAGCCTTTGATCCAGAAGAGCTCGCATACGTCGTCGGGCGACGAAAGGTGGACGAGGCCCTGGTAGCCGTTGACCCCAAGCTTGTAGGTGTGCGTGGATCTCCATCCTGCTTTGATGAGATCCAATGTCTGCTGCCATATCATGCTGGCCGCGCGTTGACGTTCACGAACGTCGACGGGGAGGTCGCCTCTGACACGAATGCTACTGGGTCTCTGGTTCCGCGGGTCGGTCCACGAGATGTCGAGCCCGCTGCATAGGTGGGCGAAGGCGTTGGCGTTCTCCTCCGTACTGAATTCGACAGAATCTGCTTTAGCAGCTCTAGCGATCTTGAGAGAGGCGTCGGCAACAATATGGGCGGGCAAATGCTGCTTCACGACGTTGTCCCAATGGTCCTGCCTCTGCTGAGAAGTGAGGCGCCTCGGAAAAGTGCCGACCCACCTGTGCGTCTTCACGATTGGAGGCCCTTGGCGTCGTGGGAGATCGTCTGGCATCGAAGTACTGCCCGCCACTGATGCGGATGAGTCGGGGCGAAGCGACTGGAGCTGCTCCGTGATGGAATGAACTCTAGATTCAACCGCTTCTTGAACAGCATGTGTGATGGAAGCCGTGGTGCCGTGCTCAATCTTTGTTAGCGGGCGTGCAGGATCTGGTTGTTCTGATCGTGCGTGGCGAGCGACGCGCGCACCACATTCATGTCGGCCTGGAAGGAGACCTTCATGTTGCCAATCTTCTGTTTCGTTTTTTTATGTCGTCGATTAGCATGCGCATCCAGCTCGGAGGTATGGCTGGGGCTGGAGACAAGGAGCATGATCCGCTGCGTCGCGAAAAACGGGTTCTGGCTGGACTCATGTCGAACCGAAACGGGCTCGTCCGACGCTCAGATTTCATCGGAGTCGGGCTGACTGACGAAAGTCCACCACGGCGGCGTTCATGCTTGGTCCCGGCCTTCTCCGCTTTCTTGACACCTCGAGGCGGCATGACAACTGGAGAGGTCCGAATGTTG